GACATCTTTCCACCAAGTATGGTGGCTTGTACCTGGAGCCCAGTTCTAGAGTCTGGTGTAGGAAGATATCAACATAAGTTCAAGACCAGACTCAGCCAGTGTCTGTCTCAATAAACAAACAAAACCCCAAAAACTAATGACAAGAAAATCCCAAATCAGGAGGGAGGACTCAGTGGTTAATTGTGTACTGTTCATGCGGAGGACCAGAATCCGGTTCTTAGCATCCACATGGGGCAACTTAAAGCCACCTCTAGATCTGTCTTCCTGTTCTGGCCTCTATGGGAATTGCATTTGTGTGGTACACAGGAATATTAGCAGGCAACACAACCACACATATAAAATAAAAATAAAGCCGGGCATTGGGTGGTACATGCCTTTAATCTCAGCACTTGGAAAGCAGAGGCAGGCAGATGGATCTCTGTGAGTTCAAAACCAGCCTGGTCTAGCAAGTTCCAGGACAGGTTCCAAAGCAATACAGAGAAATCCTGTCTCGGAAAACCATAAACAAACGAACAAACATGCATGTGGGATATATGCACACTTTTTATCCCAGGACTCTAGTTCAAACCCAGCTTGGTCTACACATGTTGGGCTCCAGGACAGACAGGACTACATAGAAAGCCCCTGTCACAAACACACAAGCAAGTTGGAAAGATGGCTCAGTAGTTAAGAGCACTGACTGCTCTTGCAGAAGACACAGGTCCAGTTCCTACATGGCAGCTGGCAAGCATCTTTACAGTTCTGCTACAGTCCCAGGGGATCCAACACCCTCACACAGGCATGCATGCAGGCAAAAAGCGCCAATGCACATAAGATGAAAATAAATAAATAATAAAAAACAAAGTGAGTTAATAATAAAATTTAATTAAAAATCCAAAACCATAAAAAACAAGCCAGAATGAAAATGAGCGGACAGCTCCTGATTGGTGCGTTTGGAGTTCTAGATTTGTGTTTTCCCATCATTGGTCTAACACTCTCTTCCTTCAAAGTCCCAATGGGATCCCCACTAAATGGAGACTTAAGAGGACTTCTTGGTTCAAATTCCTCGGACCAGGCACCAGGGTTATTACAGTCACTCCTCTGGAGTTCCCCTTTTTAAGTTCATTGCTGTTTTGCTTGCTTTTACATCTGTGTGAGGGCATCAGATCCCCTGGAACTGGAGTTACAGACGGTTGTGAGCTGTCATATGGGTACAGGGAATTGAATCTTTGTCCCCCGGAAGAGCAGCAGCCAGTGCTCTTAACTGCTGAGCCATCTCCACACCCAAGTTCCCCCTCCCTCTCCCACTCTCTTTTTGAGACAGGGTTTCTCTGTATAACAGTCCTGGCTGTCCTTGAACTCACTCTGTAGACCAGGCTGGCCTCAGACTCACAGAGAGCCACCTGCCTCTGCCTCCCTAGTGCTGGGATTAAAGGCGTGAGCCACTATGGACAGCCTCTGAGTTCACTTTTCCTATCACACTAAACTTAGTAGTAGGGTGTGAGGACAATCTAGGACAAAGCTGGCCACAGTGATGGAACTCAGCAGAAGCTGGCAAGTGCTCTTGTTCAGAGCTATCTTGTTGACAGCCTGTCTGTGTGTCCTTTTCTTGTTCAGGTGGTGTGGTTTGGTGCTGCTTAAAATATGGGCCTTTATGCTCTTCCTTGCCCTTCTCCACACCTCAGTAAAAGTCTGGGGTCCATGGCTGTGGATGAAGGTGTAGTCCATTAATTAGTAAGATAACAAGGTTCACCTTTTATATCACGTCTCCTGAATCCACCACTTATCTATCTCTCCCAGTGTCTCACAATCCATCACTTGAGCTCCAAAGGATTAAACATTCCATCCTTCTGAAATATCAATTTTCTTGGAAGAGGCAGTATGGACTTATTCGTCACAGTTGTTTATTAGACACAAGCCATCAGTCTTGAGAGGGTACTTCATACTGGGATGGGAGTGTGGGAAAAACCTGGAAGTCTCTGAGCAGATAATTTTGTCTCTGGTCAGCTGTCGGGATTGCACTAGGTGACAAACATTTCCTAGGGCGATTAGGCACACTCACCCCAGATAGAGAGCCCATGGCAGTCCAAAGTAGGGATACCACCAGAGTCAACGTAGTGAGCCAATGAGTTCTGTTGGTACAGTTTTACTTGCAGGGACAGAAATGACTCAGAGACAGCTGCACCATCCAGGCCCATCCTAGCATGCCTGACACAGCTCTTAAATGCAGGGAATGGGAATCATACCGTAGAGCCTGCAGGCTCCTGATTCTTGCATGCACCTTGTCTAGTCTGAGTCCTCTTGGCAGCTCTGCTCTAGGTCTTCCTGGCAGCTCAGCTGTCCAAGAGTTTTCTTTGCAGCTGGGCTCTGCTTAGCCTGGCAGGGAGGGGGCCTAGCGAATCGGGTCATTTTCAGGGAGTTCTGGAAGTTTTGCTGTTGCATCCCTGCTTAAGGAGCTCCTCTTAATCTGTAACAATGGAAGGCAAGCCTATCTGAGAGGAGAAGCCACAGCACCAAACCAGACCTCGTCTGACCATGGGGCTTTCCTGATTCAAGAGCAGCTGGGGACTGGAGGGAGGTTGCTAAAGTGCTCAATGTGCAAGAGCCAGGACTTAAATTCCAGCCCCAGAACCCATGTTTAAAAAGGGCAACCTGGGAAGATTATAATGCCTGAGCTGGGAAGTCAGAAATAGGAGGATCCTGGCCTTGGCTGGCAGGCCCATCAGCCCAGACCAGTGACAGAGACCTTATCTCCAAAACCATGGGAGGGTGTTTCTCTCTTCAACATTTCCCACTCTGGGGAGGTTTTTTTTTTTTTTTTTTTTTTTGTTTTGTTTTTTGTTTTTCTGGGGTATTTTTTGTTTTTTGATTTTTTTTCCTTATTTTTCCTCAGTAAAGCTACATTTCTTCAGCAAAACAAAAGCTAAGCAAGGTAGATGGCTGTGGCCCAGGGGATGGTGGTACATGCCTTTAATCGCAGCACTCAGCAGGCAGAAGCAGATGGATCCTTGAGTTCAAGGCCAGTCTTGTCTACAAAGAGAGTTCTGGGTCAGCTAGGAATACACAGAGCAGAGCAACCGTGTCTGGGATGGCGGCAGTGGCAGGGGAGACCTAGATGGCTGGTGGGATGGATCCGTGGGTAAGCTCATTTGTTATGCTAGCAAGAGAGTCTGGATTTTAATCACACACACACACTCGTGTAAAAACTCAGCATGGCCATTTCTAGGTGCTTGTAACCCTGGGTGGAGAGGTGGAGACAGGTGCCTCTAGGAACTTTACTGTCTGGCCAACCTAGGCAAAAGTGAGCTTCAGGTTAGGTGAGAGATCGTCTCAAAATAAATAAATGCATAAATCAGTAGAAGGGGGATGGAGAGAGAGCCCGGGGGTTAAGAGTACTTGCTACTCTTACAGAGGACAGAGGTTTATCCCACAACCCACACGGTGGCTCATAACCATCTGAAACTCCAGTTCCAGGGGATCTCACACTGTCTCCTGACATCAGATGTCAGAATGTGGTGCACATCAGGCCACACATTTATTTAAAAATAAAGCTAAAGAAATCATGGTGCAGTCTGACATCCCTCTCTGGCTTTTTTGCACAGGTGTGCACTTGCAAACACGCACGCACATACATGTATATAATACACACATACAGACAACCGAAAGCAGCAAGTAGGTGGCTCCTGAAGAAAAATAAAATTGGACACACACACACACACACACACACACACACACACACACACGTGTATGCGCGTATATGCTTACTTGGGAGTAAAAAAGAACAAAGTCATCAGGTATGGGCCTTAGTATTGGGCCGTCATTCAGGAGGTGTAATGGGGTGCACAGTAAGCATTTTATACGGCCCAACATGAAAAAAACTTTGAAGAGGATGATCAGAGAATAAAGGGCATGATGCACCTTTCCTATCGCTGGATCACGCTTATCTCTATCTCGACACCCTCCAGCCTGCACCCAAACACGGTGAAGGATTCATTCACCTGGAAGCAAAGTTTTTGGAAACTGGCAGGAGCTTGGACTGTTATCTCCTGCAGAGGGTCTTCCAGTTGAAGAGCCATTGAAATGACCAGGAGTCTCTGCCTTGTTCCTCACCAGACGCAGGTGTGGCCTAGATGATCCCAGAGACCCTTTTGGTCTTTCCTGCGAGCGATTCTTGAATAGATCTATCCGTGTAAGCAAGTACTGAGTGTTCAGAAACCCCACTGTAACCAGGCAGCCTCTGCTGCCCAAGGCGCCCTCTAGTGATCCGTTTCCAAATGCTTTTCTCTGCAGGGCTGGGAAGCAAGGCGCAGACAGGCTTTGCAGCCAGGTATACCTGACCCTTGTTGCTTCTGCAGCAAGCAACTTACACCGCCTGCTTCCTGTTTTGAAATGGTACTAGAAACAGAGATCAGAGGACATCACACCAACCCTGTTCACGACCTACGCCTTCCACGTTTGGTTCCAGAAACACAGGTTACCCCTAAGTAAGTCAGTAGTGAATAGATGCATCACTTCATTCTGTATGTATTTGAGAAATGCCTGATGCGTGTCCTGTAGAGGCCTGCACCTACCTCACCAGTGTATTTCCTATCCCCTAGTCCTGGAAGAGAAGTCAGGAAGGGTTAGGAGTTTACAAGGCAGATTCAGTAAGCTTTTAGCACAATAATTTTAATTGCAAAAATAAACAGTTTTGTCAAGTGCTTGAGAGTAGCGTCTGCTTTACAAAAAAAAAAAAAATGAACGACAACAACAACAAAAAAGAAATAACCCCATCCAAAGGCTTGCTGGACATTGCTATACAAAGTTCTCGAGAGACCGGCTCGGCATATCCCCAGCAGTTTCTGGGGAGGGAGAAAGAGGAGGGCGTGGGGCATACGCCAAGTTACAAAAAACTCTCTTCAGTCCCAAAGGGAGTGCCTGCTCTGTAGGTGGCCCGAGAGGACTGTCCCCAGAGCTGGCTAGGAGGAAGGCGACTCCTTGACAGCAGCTGCTGTCCACGGAGCCCGTGCTGCAATGGCGTGTGCGGCGGGCGCTTCGGGAGAACTGGAGCTGGACTGCGGGCGGCCCCGGACGTGCGTGGAGGAGGCAGGAAGGGTAGCGGGGACGAGGGACCGGGCAGCTCCAGCTCAGAGCGCGGCGAAGGAGAGGCCCAGCGAGTAGAAGCCCAGGCCCTTGAGCCTCTCCTCGGCGCGCGCCTTCTGCTTCAGGTGCACCTTGCTGTGCCGTTTCTTCTCGTCGCTGCGCGCGAAACGGCGGCCACACACGTCGCAGGCGAAGGGCTTCTCGCCCGTGTGGGTGCGCACGTGCGTGGTGAGGTGGTCGCTGCGGCTGAAGTTGCGCAAGCAGATGCGGCACTGGAAGGGCTTGTGACCCGTGTGGATGCGCAGGTGGCGATTGAGCTCGTCGGAGCGCGCGAAGGTCCGCACGCAGCTCTCCACCGGGCAGGCGAAGGCCTTGACGTGCGGCCGCGGGCAGAAGCAGCGCGCGCTGCACTTGCCACCCCTGCGTCCCTTGCGCCGGGCCTTGGCCGAGGGAAAGGCGGCGGCGGCGGCGGCGGCGGGGGACACCGGCGGGGCCGCTCCGCTGCCCCCCGGGAGGTCGGCCACCAGGGCTTTGGGGAAGTCCACCGTGGCAGCGCCGCGCAGGCCAAGCGGGGACAGCTGCGGCTGAGAGGTGGCCAGGAACTCAGCGCCTTCGCCGCCGCTCCCTCCCTCCCCGCCCGGAGGGGTCAGCAACTCCGGGAGGCCCTCGGTCCCCTCCCCCAAGTCCCCCGGGGCCAGCGAGAAGGCGTCGTAGGCCCCTGCGGGGTAAAGTCTGCTGGCCGGAGCCGGCAGCTCGGCGGGGCAGCTGATGGACAGCAGGTCCTCGACCTTGGTCCCTACCGCGGGGAAGCGCGCCTCGGGGGTGGCCTGGAAGCCGCCCTGTGAGCCACAGCTCCCCGGGGGCCCGGCCGACAGCAGCTCCCAGGGGGCGTAGGGCCCTTTGAAGGCCGAGGCAGCGTCCAGCGCCGGCGAAGCGGGAGGCGCCCGCAGCCCCGGCTTGACGTCGGGCGGGGAGAGCTGGGGCTCGAACAGGCACTGCGAGGGCGCTCCTGCCGAAGGCGCAGCCTCCCAGAACGCCTCTGGGAAAGCGACTGAGCTCAGATCCGGGGAGTAGAGGTCCGGCAGCAAGGCATCGGAGCCCGCGGGGAAAGGCGCATCCAGCGGGGACCGAGACGCTGCCGCCTCGGGGCTGGGGAAGGGTGCCAGGCCCAAGATGCCCGACATGAGGTTGAAGAGGGCCTCCGGGTCGTGCGGGTGTTCCGGGACCGCCTGGATGAAGAAGCTGCCGCTGTAGCTGAGGCCCGGAGGGGGCGTGGGAGCGGGGCCTTCCAGGAAGCAGGAGTCAGCCAAGTCGCCCCCTGCACCGCAGCCGCTCAGAGCCCAGCTCAAGAAGTCGCCTGCCGAGGGAGGGACCAGGCACGCATCAGCCCCGCACACCTCCAAGGGCGTGCCCCGACCCTGCAGCCGCGACCAATTCCACCCTCCCCTCCCCTCCCCTCCCCTCCCCTCCCGGGCGCGAGCCGCAGGCTCAGCAAGCACCTCGTGCACCTCCAAGCCTGCAGCGGGGGGTACCCCCCGGACGCCCCGGGACGCGAACACGCCAGGCTCTCGCACAGCAGCCTGCGGCCTGGATGGGGGCTGGGGCTGGGGGTGGGAATGGTACCCCGCGCTCGGGACTGCCCCCTCCCCCGCGCGCGCCTCTTCCATCACCCCTGGCCGCTTTCGCCGCCGTCCGCGCGCCCCTGGTCCCGCTCCTTACCTCCGGGGTAAGTGGCAGCCGAGGGAGCGTCCCTGGCGGGCAGCCGGGGCAGCTCGGGGCTGGCGTGGGCGCAGCCTTCGGTGGCTTTGGCGAGGTGCGCGTCGGGGCCGGAGAAGTCGCTCAGGTGGAGCATGGCGCGGCGGCGGCGGGGCGCACGGGGCCTCGCTGGGCTGGGGCGCGCGCGGCTGGCGGGGATGCCCGGCGCCCTAGCTCCAAGCTCCTGACGCTTGGTTCGGGGAAGCGGGTTGGGGGTCCGCGACGCCCTGGCTCGCCGGCACCGGCCTCGGGCGGCGGCTCGTGGCCTCTCCAATGCGCACCCGGGCTCCCCCAGCCCACGGTCCCCCCACTTATATAGCCGGGGCGGCGCTGGCTCCGGGCTTCCGACTCCCCGGGCCACTGCCATTTCGGGAGGCCCCGGCCCTGGCGCCGTGACGTAAATGACCAAACATGGACACAGGATGTGTGCCGGGGACTCCCGAAAAGGAAAGCTCGGCTCGTGACGTCGCTGCCGCCGCCGGGGCCGCGCCGCTGCGTGCGCGCGAGTCCCCTGAGCGTGGAGCCTCGTGCGCGCTGGGCCACGGGTGCGCCCCGCAGGGGCTGGGCGCAGGGTGAGACCCCGGAATGCGCGTTGCACACGCCCGCCAGGGCTGGGGAATCACGGGTTCGGGTCCACCCTTTCCCACTTACACGGCGTTTGCTTCCCGCATAACCCCAGTTTCTTCACCTGTGAGCTTGCTAAGCAGGGAAATTGAGTCAGATAACACGAAGTCCCGGACACACTCATTAACTCTGAAATGGGTAAGAGTACTTGAGTTGCAAGCGCGAGGACCTGAGTTTGAAATCCCAGTGACCCACGGAAAAAGTCAGACAGGACTGCACTGGGCGACTGAGACAGGCACATTCTGAGAGATTGCTTTTATTTTTGCGCTTGTGTATGTGTTTGCTCCTGTTTAAACATCTTCCTAAGTTTGTTCTTCGAAAATAATGAATTGCATACAAATTGCCATAATGCGAAATTTGATAATGGCGGTGGGTGGGAGGGATCAACTAGCATACAACGAATATTCCTTTTTTATTTTTACTTTATTATTATTTTATTTCTTTGAGACGAGGCTTTCACTGTGCAGCTCTGGATGACCTGGAACTCACTGTGTAGACCAGGGTGACCTTCAATTCAGAGATCCATTGCTCTGCCTTTGAGCCTCCTGAATCCCGAGATTAGTGTGTGTTGCCATGTCAGGCTAAGCATACATTCTTAACTGAAAAATTAAAGATATCTCTTGTGTCACCTTCGTTTCTGTCTCTTGAGAGAGCCACATTGAAGTTCCTTGAGTACTTTTTGGCAAAATGTTTTCACCTGTGCAAATGTTCAAACTGTTTTTGCAATATTTTTTTTTTTAATTTTTTTCACTTAAACTGAGAGATCGCATCTTGTCTCTGGTATTATCTAAGGCTGAGTAGTTAGTTCTCCATTGCACGGGAGAACTAGGAGTTAAACACTGGTTGGTGCCTGTCCTTGAGCACCTGAGTAACTTACCAACTTTTTTTTTTTTTTTAACCAGTGTTGTTGGCATTAACTATATAAATGTGAACATGTCCGGGGTAAATTCTTATGAGTGTATGTCTAAAAGTTGACAGTTGACCCTCAGTGGTAGCAGCCCCTGCTCTGTCGCCTTCTGCAGGCAGCTTTTCTGCCTTTCCAGGTGTGGTGTGTATGTCTGTAATCCCCGCACTCAGGAGGTAGAGGCGTGTTCAAGGCCAGGCAGAACTGTATAAAACCTCATCTCAAATAGAGACCTTGTAATTAATAAATGAAGAGAAGTCGTTCCCAGCACTGAGAATCCCCTTCTGGACTCGTCTGGATTCCTCGGCTTTAAGGAGGCTTCGACTCCCAGCTGAAGAGCAGCACCAAGAACCCACTCCAGCCAGGATCTGTCCTTGTCTCTCTACTGTAGTTTCCGCTTCTTACTATCTCATCCTTATTTTATCTTAGCTCACTCAAGTCCTTTTCGAAGCCAATAAAATAAGGGAATTAAGCTGTATGTGAAGCCTGGCATTGGTGGCACACGCCTTTAGTCCCAGCACCGGGGAGGCAGAGGCAGGCGGATGTCTGTGAGTTCGAGGGCAGCCTCCTCTACAAATTGAGTTCCAGGACAGCCAGGACTGGTACAAGACAGAGGAACTCTGTCTCGAAAAACCAAACCAAACAAACAAACAACAAAACCACACACACACACACACACACATACACACACACACACAACCTATATATGGGATAGTTTTTAAGATTTTATTTACATATGTATTTATTTATTTTGAGATCAGGTCTCTATGTTTCTGGCTGTCCTGGAATTCACTGTATAGACCAGACTGGCCTCAAATTCACAGAGCTTTACTTGTTCTGCCTCTTGAGTGCCTGGATTAAAGGTATGTGCCACTAATGTCCAGCTTGAAATAGCATTTATTATATTTATTTTGGTTTTTAAGTATGTAGTATGTATGTGGCTGTGCATGGGTATGTGCATGTGGAGGCTGGTGGCCACTGAAGGGCTCTAGCAGATCCTGGCATAGCCAACATGGCCGGGGCAGGCCTTGTCTCTCCCCTCCCCCCTCTCTTATAAACCATAGATCATATCCCTAAAGCAGCCACCAAGCTCTCTTTCTTATTTGGACACTTTCTTATGCCAGACTCTTTGATCACCAAGGTCCAGCTATCAAAGTGTTGAAATCCATCAGTCAAAAGCCAGCCCCCTTTTGGCTGCCCTAATTAACATACCCAATCAGAATCCTAGCCCATTCTAATAGACTTCCCTTTTTACCTTTTTTTTTTTTTAATTTTTTTTTTGTTTTTTGTTTTTGTTTTGGTTTTTCCAGACAGGGTTTCTCTGTGGCTTTGGAACCTGTCCTGGAACTCACTCTGTAGACCAGGCTGGTCTCAGACTCACAGAGATCCACCTGCCTCTGGGATAAAGGCACGAGACACCAACCACCTGGCTCTTAAAAATCACAGCTGCAAGGTCGTTTGCTGTTGTTTTCTGCCTGAGTTGAAAAACAGCTACTTTACTTTCCTTCCCTGTCTAATAAAGGATCTGTCTGTGAAAACAGGTGTTTGGATAAGGCATGTGCCTAATCCAGGGTCTGGGGGGGGGGGCAACCCACTTTGTGCAGGCCTGTTCACCCATGGAGCCCAGAATTTCTGGATCCTCCTGGAGCTAGAGTTACAGGTGGCTGTGAGTCACCTTAAGGAGGGGACACTACCCGGGTCCTCTGTAAGAGTAGTAAGTACTCTTAACTGCTGAGCTGCCTCTCCAGCCTGGAATAATTTGATAAGATGATTAAGCTTAATATAAAAATTTTTTAAAATTACGAACTTCAATTTCTGGGACTCCAAGCACTGGAGGGCAGAAGGTCCCCAGTTTAATTTCCACTGTCCTAGAAACAGAAACAAGCTGGGTGTTGGTGGCAAATGCTTTTAGTCCCAGCTCTCGGGAGGCAGAGGCAGGCAGATCTCTGTGAGTTTGAGGCCAGTCTGGTCTAAAGAGCTAGTTCCAGAACAGGCTCCAAAGCTACACAGAGAAACCCTGTCTCAAAAAAAAAAAAAAAAAAAAAAAAAAAAAAATAGAAGCAAGTTTCTCGAAGGGCATAGAGTACAGAGCGGCAGGCAGTGTTTCTCTGAGAGTCCCTCCCCTTACTCCTTTTCAAGAAACTGTGTCCTTCCTATCTATTGTACAGACTCAGTACTGCAAAGTACTCTGCATTTACTCAGGAGCCGTCCCCCAGATCCCCCTTTGGGCTCAGATGGTAAAGTTCAGCTTCTACTGGAGAAGTCGGCTTTCATCCTTAGCTACTCATTTCTGCACCCCACAGAGGAGACTTTCCAAGCGTTCACAGAATGCACTCCGTCACACACTCGTCTGCAGAATGCGCTGATGTGCTTCCGCCCATCTCCCCGCGTCTACAAGCCGGGTGAAGGATTCTTTACAGCCATGCACACATTTCCCCTTGATGGCCACAATTCCAGTTCTATGTTATCCATATACATGATGTGCATATCGAAAACTCAGACATGGGGATTCTGATACAGCTCAGTTGTGGAGTGCTTGTTTAGCACACACATTCCTACATAAACTGGGTGTTGGGGTTCACACCTGTAATCCCAGCGCTCTGGAGGTAGAGGTCGGAGGATCAGAGGTTCAAGGCTAGACTTGAACGACATAAAACCTTGTCCAAAGAAATCCATCTATAAGGAACACACACACACACACACACACACACACACACACTTCCTTTTGTTCTATTTCAGACCCAGAACTTGACTCTAACCCAAATGCATTGCCTAGGCCAGACAGGAAGGGCACATGTGTTTTACATACACTCTGGCATCCTGTGGCCTAAGGGGACGGGAAGAGAGGAGCTCGGCTGGGCGGGTGTCCAGGGTTCCCCAGGTGGCCCGTCGGGCCAGATTGGCCAGCCCCAGGTCGCCTATCCCTTCTGCTGTTCTTTCCTCTGCCACAGTGTCCCTCCTCCCTCTTAGTCATGGATAATTCCCTTCGTCCTGTGGTGAGGTCCCAGGCCTCTGGTACTCTCTGCCAAGGGCTGTTGGGCTAGGTCTGTGCTGCGACAAGCATCCAAGTCACCTTAATTCTGCTCTTGCAGGAGGCCAGACCTGGGGCAGGGCTGGAGAGTAGGAGAGATTAGGAGAGGAGACAGGGGACATCTTTGAGTTGGGGGCTGGCAGACCCCCGCCTCTGTGAGTTTGTTTACACAGGAGACACATTCATACGCACACACTCAAAATTGCTGCTCCTGGGAGGTAATGAATACCTGTCTGTATTTTGTTCCCTGTGGACACAGGGAGGGAATAAATAGGAGACATGTGAGTAGTCCCCTTCTATTTCAGCTCCAACCGTGTGCACGCATGTGTGTGTGCACATATGTGTTAGTGCATTCGGAGGCCACGATGTCAAGTATCTCCTTTTTTCTTCAGATTTATTTATCTTTATATGCAGTGGTGTTTTGCCTGAATATATATCTGTGTTAGGGTGTCATGCCCTCTGAATCTGGAGTTACAGACAGTTGCGAGATCCTATGTGGGTATTGGGAATTGAACCCTGATCCCCTGGAAGAGCAGACAATGCCCTAAACTGCTGAGCCATCTCTCCAGCCCCTCAAGTATCTTCTTCAATTACCCCTGTGCATGCTAGTTTTCTGTCAACTTGACACAAGGTAGGGTCATCTGAGGGAAAAAAAATGCTCCACCTGATTGACCTGTAGATGCCCCGTGGGGCATTTTCTTGATTAATGATTGATGTGGGTGGCCCCAGCCCACTGTCGGCTTTGAGCTTCTGAGCAGGTGGTCCTGGGTTGTGTGACAAAGCAGGCTGAGCAAACCCATGGGGAAGCAATCCAGGAAGCACTGGTCCTCCTTGGACTCCAGATTCCTGCAGCGAGGGACCCACACGACCACAAGGATAAGCTCTCGCTTCCAAGTTGCT